GATCATCAGTGGATATCTAAAGCCTGACAACTCCTCAGTCATGTTATATACACTAACGGAACAGAAGTATATGTCCGGATCATCAGTGGATACCTAAAGTCTTACAACTCCTCAGTCATGTTCTATACACTAACAGAACAGAAATTGTACTCTGTATGACGCAATACGTGTAATTTTATTTAACATCAGATTAACAACCTCAGATGATAATCAGGAGCTGATGAGATATAAAATCATGTGGATACAGAAGATAGCTTTAGAACACCGATACATGTGTTCAGATAAGCCCGTCAACACAAAGCGGTATTACAATACAAAAACACATTTGTATTTATAGTTACGACACTGTGTCGTGAATTTGTTTGGGAAATTACAAGTAACACGTTAATGAGCAAACTAGTAAGAAAGATATCCGTATTAGTTTGGTTGGAATTAAAATTATCAAAAATGTATTAACGACGTTACCGACGTCATTAACATTACAGCAGAATTAAACGGGACCTAATGCGTTTTGACTTACGTTTTCCCCTTTGTTTCTTGACTTAGATTCCCCTTTAAATTCTGCTGGCTAATGGATACCTAATATTTCTCTGTTTATTATGCCAACACGTATGTTAGTCTGCTCCACATAATTGGTCAATTATAAGAATAGGCTAGAATAGACACGATGTGGCAAGCTCATAAGTACGATGGCCGATAGCGGCCGACAGAACACTCATATTAGTAAAAAGTGTTTTGTCTGAAAGTTTGTCAAATTTTAAGTGGACATTTTACACATTTTGTAAAAGGTGTAAACTGTCATGACACTTTGTCAATTCATGCATTGCAATTTACTTATTTTACTTTCCCCAAATAAACATTGAGGGAGGAGAGAGAAATGGAAGTAGGGTCACATTCAAAGGGCTGAACAGAACAGAGTATACCATTCCAATGAACTTAATTTACCTTTAACATAAATCACACGAATTAGACGTTATGTTTAACTGTTCATCGTGTACACTGGGAGCAAGATGGGGTTCCTTCTATGAAGTAAGTAAAACGATGCTGTTTAAAAAGTATTTCTATTATAAATACATATGTATACTGTTCTGAATATGTAAACTTCAGGATGTATTGACGATCTCAAGTTCAATAGTGAAGGTAGCACTAGACTTCAGGATGACTTTTCTTTGTCATGTTTTACAACGTTTGGTTGCTTTGAAGGTCACAAAGAGGAGGCTAATAGTTGATTTAAAAGTTTTTTTTATATAAATGATAACATAATCAAAGTCTGCATACTATTTTACCGTAATGTTTGATATATATATATATATATAGTCACTGAGTATTACAATAATTACAATTATCATAACCGTATTCTCCCGATTAATTAAGTTAATGGTATGAACTAGTGTATCAAGATTGTCACAACTGTGTGCTATATGCAAGAACGGGTATATCATCCATTACGGTTAAATGCATGTAGTATGCCGACTTTGAATATATGCCATCATTTCTATCAAAACAACTTTTTAAACAACTATTAGTCTCCTCATTGTGACCTTCAAACCAAGCACACGTCACGGTGTTTAACATGACCAAGAAAGGTTATCCTGCCGCAAGTAGAGTTTAGCGCTACCTTCAGTATTGAACTTGTGATCGTCAATAAATCCTTTTAAGTTTACACATTCAAAACAGTATACATACATATTTATAATATAAATACTTTAAAAACAGCATCATATAAGGAACTCCTTCTTGCTGTACACGATAAACAAATAAAAATACCGTCTAATCTGTGTGATTAATGTTAAAGGTAAATTAACTAAGTTCATTGGAATAGAATATTCTGTTCTGCTCAGCCCTTGGAATGTGACCCTACTTCCATTTCTCCCTCCTTCCCAATGTTTATTTCGTGAAAGTAAACTGCCATGCATGAATTGACATGGTGTTATGACAGTTTACGCTTTTTACAAAATGTGTAAAATGCCCACTTATAATTTGACAAACTGTCAGACAGAACACTTTTTACTAACAGGAGTGTTCTGTCGGCCGCTATCGGCCATCGTACATAAGAAACTGAATATGACAAAACTAAAAATAATTACACAACAGCACACTGCCAATTGTTTCAAGATGGACGCGGATTCTTGTGGTCGAATCACACAGCCCTATCATGCTAACTATTTGGTATAGGTCTCACTGCTTCTAGATATAGCAACAATGAATTCTTTCACCAATTAGGAAAAATCACAAAACGTACATATTTTAATTTCCCGTGGACAGTGCGATTCCGTTTGATGTGAGGCCGGGGACGGGCTAGACACCAACCACATGAAGGAAAACATTGTTGTTTATGTGGGTCACCGCTTCACGATCATTTCACGACTCAAGTGTTATCATTTCCGATCTGTCCCGTAATAACGTACTATTTTAATCGACATAGTAACCCATTATCTTCTCCAACACCCTTTAAGACGTAAAGCAAATATTATGTATGTAAATCAACAGTTCACGCGAACATACTGACCTGTATCACTCCTAATATGGTGTGCAGTGTACCACGCAAAACATAACATGGCGTAGGTTCCCATGCAGTTCCTAAACAAACAGGCGGGGCTGAACTTTGACATTACCTTGTTTGGCAACTCACTTCCGGAATGCCTGAATAATCTTTTGATCGCAATTTTTGAATGTTTGTTGTATTTATAGATATGTACTATTTACCATCTATTCATATCCCATCCCGTATTACTCATTGGACGCTCATTGTCAGTCTATCAGGTATATAAGTATCTCCGAATGTAACTTCCTCACATCATCTCTAGCGTCGCAACCAGCAGCACATCTGCCTCACTACATAGCACTAGACGTGTTGACACGCTATCATCGGACATTCTTATATATATTTATATTCTTGCCAACAAACCGATAACATATCAACAAAATGTTTCTTGGCGCATTTATTTTATCACTGGTAAGTTATAAATATTTTCTTTTGTAATTTTAAAACGAAATGTTTTAATGATATTTAGCATTTATAGGTGTCGTTTATAAAGGGAACGGTTGAATGATAATCGGAGGTCTGTTGAAGTTTAAGGGACTTTTAACCTTAGAACAAGTGCAGATATTGCTTTATATATTCTTACGAGTAAATACTTATTTATATATAAATATAAATGAATTCATGTTTATACATACTCTTGTATTCCCGATGACATGTTCTATTCATGGACCTGTTATATTTTACAGAGTTCTGTGGCTCTCGCTGCACCAGTGTTTACAGAGGAACCGACTGACGTTGTAAAATGTAAGTTTAATCTACAAACTTAATTCACCTATTACGTACGATTATCAAGTAAATGAAAACAGTAGCCTTGTTAACTGATTTTCTATTTTTCTACCCCTCCTTTTTGCTTACCTTAAGTCGTTTTTGTGATATGAAAAGTATGTCTTACTTTAGCTATAATATAGAGTATTAAATGTTGACAATCCAATTGTATCTGTCAATTGTATTTCAGTTTGTCACGGGAAGCCTGCCGACATTTTCTTCCTGCTGGACAGCTCCACGAGTATATGGATAGTAAACTACCGTAAACAGCTTCAGTTCCTACAGGACATCGTCGCCACCTTTCCCATCTCCCAGACGGGCACCAGGATCGGTGTCGGTATCTTCTCGCACCTGTACAAGACGGAAGTTTCCTTCAATGATTTTGATAACGTGGAGGATCTCCAGAATAGAATAAAGAAGATTCCTCACATCATGGGAAATACTCACACTGGGCGAGCTCTAGGGCATGTTCGCAAAGAGTTTTCAAGGGAGGCGAGGCCGGGCGTGGCACACATTGCTGTAGTCTTAACCGACGGGGTTTCAAGGAACAAGCGTTCGACAATAAAGCAGGCACAGCTCTTGAAGGACCAGGGGGTTAACGTGTTCGCCATAGGGATCGGTAAGGGGCCCAACATTAATGAACTGGAAGCCATCGGCAGTGAACCTAGCAATGAGTTCGTCTACAAGATTGCTGGTTTCAACGTTCTGAACTTCATCAAGGACAAACTGGCCTTGAAAGTCTGCAGAGGTAAGTAATTATTTATTTAACTCCTATTGATTTATACTGCCATATACATTTTAATGTGTCTGGTAAAATATCATTTTTAAAATCTTTGTGTGATCAACGCGATTACAGTTGAGGCTACTAAGAAATAATATGCTGGCATCAAAGAAACCAATTCTAACTGTCAGTAAAATGATTTACTAGATATTTGGTCTTTTATTGTTTTCTAAGCCTTATCATAATAAACAATCACTGGACATACAAAAGTAATGAGGAAGCTATGTAAATAATAAAACGCTCGTTATGATGAACCATCTTTACTTTTTTTTATTTTTTTTTTTTATATTTTTTTTTAAATTTTTTAATTTTACAATATCATGTTATAATTTAAGTAATATATTATTTTGTACTAGAAACACAATATCATGTTATAAGTTAAGTTACATGTATATACAGTATCATAATGTTCTAGAAATACAATATCATGTTATAAGTTAAGTTATATGTATATACAGTATCATAATGTACTAGAAATACAATATCATGTAATAACTCAAGTTAAATATCATAATGAACCATCTTTATTATATTTTTTTTTTTGTAGTTCCCAAATATCAAGCGTATTGTAGCGCGGAAATGGAAACCGATGTGATGTTCGCCTTTGACTCTGCCTCCATGGGAACAAAGAACGTGCGACATGCGCAGAACTTCATTAGTGACGTTGTTGGGAAATTCGGAAACATGGCTGAAGGAATGATCAGGGCAGGAATGTTGTCTGGATTTTGTGAAAGCAATCGAATTAACCTTAACCAATATGACAATAAGGAGACCATGTCCAGCGCTGTCCGAAACACCGAGGTCAGAGGTCTAGACTACATCGTAGAGGAACTCCATCGCCATAGCTACAACGTCTCCAGAGGAGGACGGGAAAAGTCGAGGAAAATGTCTGTTATTTTTGTGGACGAAACTGTTGAGAAATTTGACCAAATTATTGTTCAGTCGGAGATTGCGAAAGCCAAAGGTATCACGGTGTATGTTGTTGGTGTGGGTGACGTGGACGAGGCAATCCTGAGTACTATCTGTTCCAGTCCCCCTGAGAACCACATGGTGCGTGCATCGTCCTACGACGCTCTGGATTCAATAGCAGAGGAGTACTCCGAACTGTTTTGTCAAGGTAAGCTCAGAGATTCTGTTATGTCTTTCTTTGTCCACAAGGACCTTAGATTAAAATAAATCATGTATATCAAGACCTATGAATTGTCTTAAACAATGTTTATTTTTATAAAATGATAACATATTTTAGGAAAAAAATCTTCAAATCCGATTTTTTTCTCTGCGTGTTTCAATAACTTAATTATTTGTCACGTATTGAGAGTTGTTAACATCAAATAGCACTGCAAATAACCATTTGATGGTTGTGTATTTTCAGAAATTTCCGTTTTACCTGACTATGAATAGACCGAGGATAACGAACGCCAAGGAGAGTAAGAAACTCAACTAATCGAACTGACCTCAGTCATATGGACTTCACCACTGGACGTTACGGGACAATGACGGTTTAAACCATCACTGAGCTTGGGACAACAGTGCTGTGTACTGCACTATGAGGAAACTCAGTGTTTGATTTGTGCAAGGAAATCTGCGCAATACTTTGTTAGATGACGGATGATTATCTTTCCTGATTTAAAACCACCACTCACTTTAATTTAGTCAATGAACAATAAACCATTGTGCTATCTTACATGAATTTTATAAAAATTCTGAAATGATTTATATTGAAGTACAAAGTTTTTACGCTGATAAAGCGTATCAGCCATAAAACGGACACGGACACTAGACAAAAATACCTGAAAGGTATGATCATTGAATGAATGTCGTATTAATCATTCATAATGTAAAAAGGCAGGTATTTGAAACACAACGCCTATCTGATATATCATTTGTCAGTCATTTAATGCGGGGACGTATAATTTATTTCCACAATTTCATTTTGCAACCAATGCAATAGATATTATTTTATTGTTGAAAAAAGTATACAGTTTTGTACATTAACTTGTTAAAATATACACTTGTTATTTGTTGATTATGTTATTGAATAAAACATTGAAAAGAAACTTATTCTGTTTGTTATATATCATTTTGTAATGATAAAAAATTCACTGAATGTGCCAAAGATAAGACGTTAAGATGAAACCTTCAAACTCAAGGGTCAACTTTATAGATTCTGCATGAATAAATTGATGGTGACATTGCCTATCAATGTCAATTGTTCACAGACTACTCTCCGGTGTGCTAGGCAGTACCAGGGAGTTTCTAATTCCTGTCCAGCAAACTACGGAGGTAGTCTCTAAATCCTCCTCTACAGTAATCGATTACAGAGAAAGGTTGTTTTCAAATTATTGTCTAAATAATGGACTACAGAGAGAGGAGTTCTAAATTAATGTGGAAATAATTGACTTCGGAGGAGTTCTCTTCTCTTAATGCTTGTCCATAATAGTTGACTACCGGAGCGAAGTCTCAAATTCTAATATAGAATACGGAGAAAAAGGTCTCTAAATTCCCGTCTAGAATATTCTACTTCGAAGAATGTAGCAAGTAAGTTCTTGTTTACAATGGAGAAAGCAGTCCAAAAATATCTTGTCAAATTAATGGAGTACGGAAAGGAGGTCTCTAAATCCTTGTTCTTGCATGTTTGGCTTTGAAGAGGAGAGTCTTTACAACTGTAGTGACCAACTTCAGTGCTCTGACAGTTTTAACCAGACCATTTATCAATCCTATACAGACGTAATATCTAGACATCGTGTTATTGGTATAAACAATTTGTTGAGTACATTAGATACATTAAACTTATTTAATAAATAATGAATCTTACCAAAGCCTTGGTTGGAATCCTGAGTTTCACGTGAGCCAGAACACAGTGTCACGTGAGCCAGTACCTAGAATATATCATGTTCTCGCATTTTTTGGACAAGGTTAGTGCAGAATTTCAAGAGGCCGAAGACAAGACCTGGAATAAAACCTCTTTATTATTATTTGATGATCTGTAATGTTCCTTTATCATCTAATACTTGATTAGTAGGATATACAACCTCCCGATCGAAGTTTTTACAAGTAAGAGAGTACTATGTGTCACATATTTTCTTTGGTGAAATGAAAGAACCGCTTACCCCTTCTAAGGCGTGGTCAATGTGTGCCCTTTCGCACGTGACATTTAGTGGTAGCACTGTAACCATGGGGACCTTGTCAGGACAGTTAACCGTGGACAGAAAGGTTCATCGGTACACATGGTGGACCTACAGGATTCCCCAAGCCGAATTTCTGGAGGACCATTCTCGGGCGGCGGAAGAGTGTAGTAGCCAATGCTTACATGATTGAGGAAAAACATACTTACATGTACTGACACGCTAGTTTTCCTAACATTGTTTAAAAACAACAAGAGAATACCGAAGTGTTAACAAAACCCTAATTACAACTCAAAATCGATAAAAGTAAGGCAAATTATGAAGAAGTGTTGAACAAGTATTATGATAATAAGACCAGATGTTCCAGATAGATAAGCGTCTTTTTGTTCATCGACGACCCCCGCCATGTATATTTAGGTCAAATGCAAGTACTGTAATGTCCTCACATCGACGGCCCCCGCCATGTATATCTAGGTCAAATGCAAGTACTGTCATGTCCTCACATCGACGGCCCCCGCCATGTATATTTAGGTCAAATGCAAGTACTGTACTGCCCTCACATCGATAAGTAGTGACAACAAAACCACAAAGCACTGTAATGAGCAAAGAAAGAGCGTATTTCTCAGTGAGATCAAGATGGCGACCAAAAAACTTATCTATAGTCTTCATCAACCTGCTTCCATGACATAAGTGTAGAATCTCGAGCGTATTAAGTGGCTAGATGGGTGTCTAGACAAACGATTACCTTGTTTTCCCCCGCTGTATTGGTCTGTTTTCAATGCGTTTTCGTTTCTGTTTCGCTAATTGTTTTGCAGTGTGGTGGTGTCGACACTAAATTATGATTTTATTGTAGTGATACGACGCTGAAGTAGTTACATTTACTTTACGTGACCAAGGAATGATGTGTACGGACAGTTCAGTTATGATATACGACTATCATAGAGATCTTAATTTGTCGAAAAAGTTCGAATTAGCCACCGGATTAGCATCCCAGTACGAACACAACAAACCAAGTTTATGTGTAAAACAGGAATATTGAAACGTACTGGCCGAGGAATTGCTTCCTCTGCTAGATATTTTGCTATTTCGTCATGTTCATGTCAGGTTATAACACGATGACAGATTAAATTAACACAGGGAAAATACAATTCTTGATAAAGCGATTGCCGGTATGTCGTGTTGTTGGGAAATTTCTAGAAATCTGTTTACCACTTTAGCGAGATATATGATTGTCTTAAATATCTTGCTTCATTTAACTTATTTAGAAAATTATTTTTAGCGGACAAAGATTTTAAAGTGAGCCCACTCTATGTAAACTTTGTTGGTGATCCAACTTTATGTTACGAAAAATGGCAACAAGCACCAAAGTCGACAGTATAAACGGAGTATGATTGATTAATAAATATTTATCCGCGAAAAATACGTATGGTTTTGGCATTGTTTAGGACATGACAACATATATCTAAAGTGCATGTCGACAACGTATTTCAATTAGCTATCTGAGCAAACTAGCTTTTTAAATATTTAAGAGGTAATAAAAGGAAGAGATGAGAAAGTAACAAGCTGAGTGTCTGGGATTTCATGACGAAGTCACCCGTCTAACCATCAATATCACATGTGGAGTGATCCTCCCTTACTTGTAAAATGTGTTTTAATGGTGAGTACTTGTTCTATACACTAATATAACAGAAATGTATGTTAGGATCATCAGTGGATACCTAAAGCCTGACAACTTCTCAGTCGTGTTCTATACACTAACAGAACAGAAATGTATGTTAGGATCATCAGTATATACCTAAAGCCTGAAAATTCCTCAGTCAGGTTCTATACACTAACAGAACATAAATATATGTAAGGATCATCAGTGGATACCTAAAGTCTGACAACTCCTCAGTCATGTTCTATACACTTACGGAACAGAAATATATGTAAGGATCATCAGTGGATACCTAAATCCTGACAACTCCTCAGTCATGTTCTATACACTAACAGAACAGAAATATATGTCAGGATCATCAGTTGATACCTTAAGCCTGACAACTCCTCAGTCATGTTCTATACACTAACGGAACAGAAATACATGTCAGGATCATCAGTGGATACCTAAAGCCTGACAACTCCTCAGTCATGTTCTATACACTAACGGAACAGAAATACATGTCAGGATCATCAGTGGATACCTAAAGCCTGACAACTCCTCAGACATGTTCTATACACTAACAGAACAGATATATATGTTAGGATCATCAGTGGATACCTAAAGCCTGACAACTCCTCAGTCATGTTCTATACACTAACAGAACAGAAATATATGTCAGGATCATCAGTGGATATCTAAAGCCTGACAACTCCTCAGTCATGTTCTATACATTAACAGAACAGAAATTTATGTCAGGATCATC